AAATATATATAATTCTATAACTATTTGAAAGGGGGATTTTAACATCCATAAATCCCAGCTATTTTGGATGTTCGCCATGTTCGGGGGTACATGGGAAACTGCAAAACATTGCAACTTAGGTGTAACATGGTGTAACGCAATCTATATTGTTTAGCAATATTCTGATAGATTTACTGTAAATTGGAAAACGTTACGTAGTGTATATAGTGATAATCCCTAAAACATTGCAAATTCTTGTCCACCACGTAGAATCCCTGATTATATCTATAATCTATATGTTAATTATCATTGGAAGGATTTATCGTGAATTGCAAGACATGGCAAAATTGAGATTTCAGCTACACTTATTTCTGTACAAGAATTGGAATGTGACCCACAAGAATTGGGGATTTGACCAACACTCTTGACAGTCAATGGATGGTTTTAGGCCAACATCTACGGGAAACCAATGGAAACCATCTGTATTTTCACATCAAATATAGGGGATTCAACCACGTTCTCAGTTTCGGAGACTAGAATGATAATATGGTTTATATTTTGGGTTCATTAAGCACCAACAAACATTATTATATACTATAGCATAATTATAGTTGTATAGAGGTTAACATTTGTTAACCATTTGTCGGGTATCACCTTTGGGGGTTGGCCAAGCCAATGACTTGAGTATGTCAGATATGTAATGTGGACCTATGAATGAAGGACCCTGCAGGCCACCCTTAGTTTCCCGCTTCGGCGCTTTCCAATCGGTCAGGCATGTTCTTCCATGCTTGCGCCGCAAGACGCGTACGGACAAGGAAAAGCAGCTAGGTTTACTTTCCTGCACCAGTCATTTGAAGTGCTGAACGCAGGTATACGGCCTGGCAACATTGGCGTCAGTTGGACTTGGAATTGTCTTGCTATGACTTCAGATCAGGATGAATCATATTAATATTATTATAGTTATACATTATAATATATATATATTAACTTTGAATGTTACAATATGGACCACAACCGCTTGGTCTAGACTCGCATCTGTGGCAAATGCCGGCGCATTCCAATCGGGCAAGCGTGGAACCACTGACCTTGCACCGCAAGACGCGTTCGGAGACTGACTCAGCTGGGTTTACTTTCCTGTGTCATTTGACCGCTCGTGCAAGACACAGGTATACGGCCAAGCAATATTAGGCAGTGACTGAGTGACTTTGAAACACGATGCCTTCTCAAGTAGCACATGGCATGCGTACACAACATGTTTTTAGGCCCCTGACAATTTGATAGAACACCCTGAAAGATGGGCGTGGAAGATGATTCCTTCAATGTTGCCATTGTTTGCTTCTCAAATTTTGGGTCCTTTCACCTTGGTCTTCCTGGGGCACCTGGTAGCTGCTGGAAAGCCACCGGCGCTTTCCAATCGGACAAGCATGTCGTTCTACCATGCTTGCGCCGCAAGACGCGTACGGAGAGTGAACGCTGCTAGGTAAACTTTCCTGTGTGTGGCACGTTCTCAAGCTGGACACAGGTATACGGCCTAGCGAAATTGGTTCATCACAACTTTGCGTGGTCTTCAGAGTCGAGGGTCCACAGATGCTGTCAACAAAGGCAGTGTCGGATGGTGGTTGCAATAAAAAATGAAAGGTCTTTCATTGTCTTTTACATACTGGTAATACTTGGCAGCATTATTAATTATTCTAAATTCTAAATAGTAACTCATGGTATCACCTCCGGGTTCTGGGCGATGTCTCCAAAAACAAGCGCCTTCAGCCAGCTGGGTTTTTCCATTCAGATGATAATCCATCATTTGATTTGTCATTTGAATTCATTTGAGGTCAATCTTTCCCACAATTTTCCAGTAGTTTTACAGCTGCAGGTTTATCCTCCGGTAATCAAACGTGGCTTGCTGGAAAATCACCCATTTAAGCATTTGTATAAGAGTTGATAGTTAATTTCACCCATGTATATATTTAAAAAAATGTAATGGTCTATAGTTGATTTTCCATGCAGTTTCGCTACAAAAACCTCCATTTCGTTCGTGGATTTTGGGCGTCTCCGGTGGCGCTTTTCGGCCGAGGATGCCGCTCTTCCTGGGACTTTTGCCTAACAACTGCGCAGGCCTGGCCGCAAAAAAACCACTGGTTGGTGGTTTGGAACCACGGAATTTTATGACTTTCCATAGATTGGGAATAATCATCATCCCAACTGACGAACTCCATCATTTTTCAGATAGGTATACCACCAACCAGACAACATTCGAACTTACAAAGTAATACACAGTAGTCATAGATGAGTAGTGATGAGTAACATAAGTGACCCAGTGACCTAACTTATCAAAGTGGCTATATCATGTTTTGGATGAGTAACTTAGCTGACCAAAATAACTTCTTATACTATATGAAACTTACAAACCATAAAATATATATATAATATACATTCATCCAACAAACAGTCCCAATTAATGCAGTTGTTGGATCTTGTTGGGGTAGTTGACTGCTCCATTTTTCTCCAGCTGTGGGTCCATCATTTGTCACTGCCCCGAAGAGATGAACATAATGATAGCTCATTAATGTGGGAAAAACACTGCCATAAACCATCCAGTTGGGAATGTTTTATACCATCTATTTATGGTGATTTGGGGGATTGTTTATTATTGTTTCACCAACATTATATTATATATTATACGTCGGCTGTGTCACATATGTGCTATCTAACGTCTGAAGAAGGTCGATCATATGCTATACTTATATTATCTTATCTGCAAACGCTGCAAGCACTAACAACACTAATAGAGATCAATGGCCATGTCAGGGACCTTAAATTAGAGGTACCTACCTGACCTGTACCCAATATATTTTTTGTAAAATGTTAGTTTTCGGGAGAGTATGTATATATGATATATGATATATGATATATATATGATATATGATATATGATATATGATATATGATATCTGATATGATATATATATATATACGGTTGGTTATATATTTTCCATAGATTGGGAATAATAATCCCAACTGACTTTCATATTTTTCAGATGGGTAGGTATACCACCAACCAGATATATCCATGTATAAGGCCCATGTTTCAGGGCTATGTTTCAGGGAATACCTCCTCAAAAGATGCCGAAAAATGGTGGCTCCGGAGGCTCGAAGTTGCGCATCTATGTCTATGAGACAGGGCAAGGAAGCCTAGGGAAGCTGGACATAGCTGGAAAATGTGGGATTTAATGGGAAAATGATGGGACAATGATGATCTTATTAGTTTTTAATGGGATTTAATTGGGACAATGATGGGACCTGATGGATGGAACATAATGGTTTACATGGCCAACATCAGGAGCATTTTGACGATTTCGGGTTCGTTGTGGTTGGTTCAAGGGAACTATTTATTTATGGTACATATTGGGAAAAACACCATGGATTTCCTCTCGTATTCCGTTCCTGGAATGATCTATATAATTGATCATGGTGAGGAGATGCGGATGACACACCCTTTAATGCTGGGATCGAAACAACAAAGAAAGGGACATAGAAAGCCTGAAATTTTGGGTAGGAGCCGACTGGCTGGACATTCTGCCAGTCCAAGATGATGGAATTGGATGGGTGGGCTAGGGTATCCAAGATATCCAAGAAAGGTTCTCCATGAGAATTGCTACGCAGTCAGCCCAAAGTGCGATTTGTATCAGTATCCGATGATTTTTGACTTTGTAGAGATGATTCCCATTCGAAGGTTATCCCCATTGAGACGGCCATACTATAGAGACCATATTCAGACACAGACACAGACACGGTAAATCTTGCTCAGCTGGTGCTGAAGCACCCCACTGCACCAGGGCTTTTGAAAACACTGCCTACTGAAAACTGCTGCTGCTCCCTCATTAAAAAACCTACAAAATGCATGACATAGTCACATGTGAAATCGAATTGAAATGGGGTTTTCCATGGTTTTGGTTTCAACCCCCCAAATTGAAACCAGCTGAACAAAGGGGACATCCATCCACGTCAGGTCTTTCTCTGTGGGTTCCATCTTCTGTTCGGCCGGGCAGTGGGGAAGCTGAGCGGGGGTATATCGGGACTGTTATTTTTTGGGATATAATGGATAACATGCCAAAAGAGGGATTGTTCATTAAAAAAAAACATTTTTTTTTGCGTCATAAGTGTTGTTTTTTTCTATGGAAACCTTTCTTCACGCCTCCAGTCTCATGTTTGCCGCAGCTTTTTTTCCCTGCTGTGGGACAGCAATGAATCAATGGCCATTTGAGGTACCCGAATTGGAGGTACCATTTTCCATATGTAAGGTCTTGCAGCAAGGTTTTTTTGTTTTATTCGATATGCACCCAATAAAAATATCAATTTATGCCAGGCTGTACAATCCCTCAATTTTAAAAAAGGTCCCTGATTGATGACCGGTCCCTGACTTGATATCCAACCAAAGAAATCCAAAAAACTGATACCCTGCGAACAGGTGTGGTAATTTTTCAATGCTGGGAATGGATGTGGTGATTCTTCTTGAATTGCGAAAGGCTTCACGGGCTTTTACATAATCTTATTTGGATGTGATTCCCCAAATCCATTCATCCTGCCTAACCCATGATGGACATCATTCAAACATTACTTCAGATGTCCATGCCAGATACAGTAAGCATTTACTAGCCTTTTGTTCAACGTAGAGGCTGATTTCTGATTTCTCACCATTTATCTTGATCCCATCACTATCCATCTCTATCCATGATAAAAAAGAACACACATCTGCTAAGCAGTTGAACATCCACAAACACGAAATCAAACCACATTAAAAAGAACACAACTTGGGTTTTGTGCAAAAAAAAAGGCTGTGATCATTGTATCATTTAAATATTCATAAATGGGTATGAATCAATACCTATTAATACCATTTTTAGGGGGATGAACATCTATAAATCCCAGCTATTTTGATGTTCACTAGGTGCCAGGGTTTTGGCCCATCCCCAAATCAGCTTTTTAAGCCATGGAAAATCCCCATTTCTTCCGGGTGAAATCGTGGCATTTTCCAATGGTTTCGTGGCATCGTTGCTGGGCCCTGTTGGCCCTGTTGGCCTTCAACCCCTTGGGCCGCGCCATGGGGGAGTGGCTCGGACGACGGGATGACAAAATAGGGATACCCTCTGGTAAACTAACATAGCTATTGAAAATGGCCATAGAAATAGTGGATTTTCCCATCGAAAATGGTGATTTTCCATAGTTATGTTAGTTGGTATAATATAGGTATATATAAATAGATGACATATGGTATAATATGCTATAATTTTATGGATTTAAATATGGTATAATTGGATGAAATATGGTAGAATATGCTATAATGTAGGATTTAAATATGGTATAAATAGATGAAATATGGTGTACTTATAATATCTTATGGCATTACTTAAGGGATACCCATCCATCGTTTGATCGGAGATCTGGATGGGATACCCATGAATGAAAGAAAGAATGAATGAATGAACTGTCACTGTCATACTTTAGATACTCTAGATTCTGCCAAAACTGCAATGGAATAAATGCCTACGATGAGGTCCAGTCATCGCCTGTATATATATATAAATATACATGTATCTAAGTATCTACCTAACTTTTCTGCATCTACCAATGCACCGATAATCTATGTCTTTCTTTCTATCTTTATGTTTTTTCAATGTACATCACTATCATTCCAAATTGTTTGCAAATGAAAACACCTGACATGCCACTTCGCAATGGAAACCTCTCGCCGGGACGCAAATTGTAACATAGTACTTCTTTGGTTTCGCGCCCGAGAATGTTTTCACCCGTGAATTCACAATAATTCACGCTTTCCCGAACTGTTACTCTCGTCTACTGCTCCCAAGCACGAATGATGACAAGATGCTGTTGACATGATGATGACATGATGAAAAGACTGCCCTTAGACACTTGAAATGCAAATCGAGCTCTCGCCACAGTCTCGTGCACACGTTGCCAACTTCATCTTCCGAAAGTGCTAGACATTTCATCGGGGGTTTTATATCTGAATATAACGACCTCACATCGGGATGTCACCGGAATGGTGCTTCGGATTGGGGGAACTATACTGCATCCCCACATGTCCGAACTTTCCATGGTTGGTGAATTATCGATCAACTCGGAAGTTTCGTTCGAAGACTTCTGAGGTGCGGACGAATGACCAGGGGCAGTCTTGTCATCATGTTATCATCATGTTATCATCATGTTTAGTCATCATGTCAGCAATTTTTTCGTGAGCAAAATCAGCAATCGCGTGATGTTGAGTGACCATTTGTGTGTCCATCCATAAAAATATCCCCAGAGCATCCCTGTATTTGTTGGTTAAATCCTATCATGGGTGACCCATAGCAGCCTGGCAGCAACCTCATCAAACCAATGCCATGAACCCACCGCTAACTGCTACATGATGCTACACGGGTCTGTCCAAAAAGGTGGATTCAAAGCTGGGTGATCTGGTAAAGTCATTGGTTTAATGTTGGAAAATCATTGATATTTCATGGTAAAAACCATGCTTTGTAGATTTTCCAGGTTTTTTTCCTGACACCCAACGAATCGTGGGGCCATGCCCTAGGTCTCCCTGGCGAGAATGGGCACGAGAGGTCTTCGTGGATTTCATTGTGACTTGTTTTTTTTTCACGGAGGTGGCCCACTTTTTTGGGCGGCTTGAGATTGGGGATTTTATTTTAACCAACATCGTTGTTTTGAAGCATGCAACGCGTTGCGATACATTGCGTGTTTGCAAAATGTCCTTCCTGTTTTCTTCATTGTTCATTCCGAATTGTTTTCACTATTCAAATCCATAGCGATTAGACATAATATATATATATATCTATTGTATATACCTTTATACCTTTCAAACATTATATGTCCATTTCCCTTTTATTGGCAGAGGTTTCCTGCCCCCTTGTCCCCTTGCTGAAACGCGCAGAGGAGGGCATAGGATGCCAAGACTGCTCTCAGCTGCTGGATCAAGAAACTGAGATGCAATTCACCCTGTCCAGCAACATCTTCGGCTGCGCCTTGGAAGGAGAGCTGGAAGGGTGAAAGATGAGAAAATCACCCCTGCTGACAATTTCATTTTGTACTAGCAGCTATACGATCAAGTTCACAGGATTTGTCTGGGGTTTGATCATGTTGCATCTGTTTATCCACATTTTCTCTGATATATATACCCTCTGGTTATTTAACATAGCCATGGAAAATCACCATGCTATTAATAGGTAAACCATCTATAAATGGGCCATCTATACCATGGCTATGTTAAATAACTATATATATATTCTTCACTTTGGATCCCAGGATGAGTCGCACAGCCGGATGGTTCACCTCTCTTCAGTGGTGCCAGCAACCCATTTTCATCACATCGCTCTTTTTTTCGTTCTTGGATAAACCTTAGACCTTAGATCAAAGATAAACCCATCTATCCCCTCTTTTTTAGTGGTGGCCCATATTGCATCCCATGGGTCATTGGCTATTCCCTACTCACGACCAAATGTTTGCTGCTGGATCACTATTTTGCTTATATTCCCAATTATGTCCCCGGCCCAGTGCATCATGATTAAATCCACGATGTTGTGTGTATATTATATATATATTATAATTATATATTTGTACATTCAATTTAATCCAAAATATCCAAATTATATGTTCTAGCTGACCTATCCCCATGGATTTCCATATCTTTTTCCAGGTGCTGACATCGACGTGCTGTTGCCCTCGCTGCACTGGCTCTACGAGTCCCGACGTTTCCACGACGAAGCGCCGTCATCGTCGCTGCCAGGGCTGCTGGTGGATGGTGGCGCAAATGTGGGCCGCGCTACAGCGCGGTGGATCTCCAGCTTCGGGGACAGTGGCGCGGCACCGTGGAGCCATTGGAATTGCTGTCCTGGGAAGTTGGATATATATAAAATTGGGGCAGAATTGAAACTCAAGTCATTGAACAATTTTTTTTGGGGTGATTTTTAGATCAATGAATTTAGGTGCAAATTTGATGAGTTTGACGTATTACTCAATGAGTTTGAGTGACTTTCACCATGAGATAGATATTTGGACTTGCAATTGCCAGATTTCTGGGGGTAAGTGGGACGTGGGTGGGCTGATACAACCAACTTCTGACTAGTTGGGGGCCCAGCATTGGCCCAGCATTGCACGTTTGGCAACTCATTTTTTGTTTGTTTAACATGTATAATGTATATATGTAAATTTGCTACTACAATGTACCACGCCAATGATCAACAGCGCAGGGGTCATGAATCCGGGGTCAACAGCGAGTGGTGTTTGGGGGCAGGAGCTCCAGGCCAAATCAATGGGGCCAAAAACAAGCCTAGTCGAATCCCTTGCAGCCTTGCACGGGCCTTCATTGGGTACTTGTACTTCCAATGTGGGCGGACATCCAATCGCTAAACCCCCAATCAGATGCTCGAATCTGATAAGATCATGTCGATTCATGTTGAATTTCCTGCTTCATGGTGACATCTTCCGAACTTCAGGGACTCCAAACCCCACCTGAGCACCTGAGGTTTCAGTCGTCAGATCTCCTCGAATCCCTCCGTGGCGCCCTGCGTGGTCTGCAACGGCCAAAGTGCCTCCCAGAAGCAGATCCCAGGCCTTGCCCCCACGCCCAACGTGGCGGTGGTGGCAGTGGAGCCAAGTGACAGCAACTTCCAATTGCTGCTGCGGCATAGCAAGGAACATGGATGGGAACATGAAGCCTTCCTGCCACTGAAGGCACGAGAGTTCATAAAATTTAATGCTTTATGATATGAATATGATTTATGATATGATTTATGTATTACATATATATATATATATTATATATATATGTGATGTTAATTTGAAGACAGGGGAAGTTGCGAGGAGTTTTTGAAGGATTTTTTGTGATTGGGTTGTTTATTGAACTCTTTTTGTGGGGGGGAAAGGAGGTGGGACTCTTTTAGATTCTTTTGGGGTTTCAAGAAAATGACAGAAGATGACGCTGGGAAGGATCGCCCAGGATTTTGGTTGGTGCAATATGTTCAGCAGTGTTGAGTTTAGCATGTTGGGTGTACAAAGCATCAAATTGATTCAAATTGTTGGTCAATGTTGGGTACTTTGGTTAAAATGCATTGTTTATCTTTTTTACAAAATAATATATATATATATACATATAACATATATACATATTATACATATATATATATATTCCAATGTTTCATTTTTTTTGCAACGTTTTTTCACATGTTCAGTGGTTTTTCCAGGTTTTTGCATCCACCCCAGCGTGGTTTTGTGGAACTGTCCAGGCAGCGTTGGGTGGTGCCCGTGGTTTGGGGCACCTGGCGGTGAGCGACTTTGCCATCGACGAAGTCGCCACCTTGCTGTGGGAGGAGAACGATCCAAGGAGGAAACAGGAGGCGAGATTTTTCCAGCAGAACGATCCAGATTTTGATGGGAAAATCCGTAGGAAAATATCTGGGACAACTTTTTCCAGCTGTTTTTTGGATGCTTTTGATAGGACATGGAGGTTTGAATGGAAAAAACACAATTGGTATATAATGAATCATAATCCCGCGAACATGATAATAAATGGAGGCTTTTAATGGGAAAGTCACCAAACTAAACGAAGGTGTTAATGTAGAGTTTAGCATGTTTTAACTTTGACCAATCATTGATTGGGATGAGGTGGGGCGGCTTTTCTACCATGGGGATTTAAGCAATTTTTCAAAGGATATTTCTGGTAATTGGTAGATATATCGAACTAGTTCATGGCGGGATAATTAGACACCGCCAGATTGATTGATGTGCAAGTGGCAATTTGTTAGTTAGTATTTTAAGATATCATCCAATTTAGAGTATGACATATCCAAAAATACCATCCAGTAATCAAACAAACACAATGGGAACACCCCCCTTTAGTTTGATGAATTTTACCCCCCAAAAAAACACTCCATTTACCCTCTGGTAAACATACAAAAAACTATGGAAAATCACCATTCTCAATGGGTAAATCCACTATAAATGGCCATTTTCAATAGCTATGTTAGTCATAACCAGAGGGTATAGCTGGATTTCCCAGCCATCCGTTAGGTGGAGGTGATCACCCTGGCGGAAGTGGTCCAGGCGGCCCAAAAGGCCTTCCCGGACCTTGCTGGGAACGACAAGATCTTCCTCTTGAAGCTGGTTGGGGGAGCTCAGACTGGGAAAAAGGTGGAGAAACATGAGGATTTAATATGATTTAATTATAAACCATGGCATTGAAGCTAACAACGGAGAACAGAATTTAGCCAAACCAAATTGGGATTTAATCTACGAACACTTGAAATTTTGAATGAACAGGTGCGATTCGACACCAATAGACTCCAATTGACTGGTGACTTCAAACATATATTTTGTGTTTATTTCAATATCCGAAAAAGTGGGAATTGTTCTCGAATGACTCATTGTATAATGCATGCTCATTTTGTAATGCATGGGTTGAAACAACCACTAAGTAGTCTTAAAAGTTATATATGCTCCCCACCTCTGGAGATGGTTGTTCAAATTTGTTGTTCATATGGATGATTCTTCTTTTAAAGCGGCATCAGATGGCTCACCAAGCAACTACCAACGATATAAATATAGTTTACATAGCGGGCTTAAGCAGCCACCACTAGCCACATCCTCGAAGTCAAAGAAGTCATACTGGAGGAGGCAAGGAGCCACGGATGAGCACGATACAACCACAAGCCATGGGAAGCTACTTCGAGCCCGGTTCCCCCAAAATCACTGGATGATTTCCAATGGATCTGCTACAGTGCAACTCATCAAAGATTTCTGAATTCAAGAACGTGGCAAACCCAATGGATCGAGGCATCCCCAATATTACCAGAAATGGGTGGATTTTACAAATCAGCATCCCCATATGGTAATGACTTGTTGGCTGCGTAAATTATCATGGAGGCCCCACCAGCCGACCTACAAATTGATGGTTCTTTGCCGACCGTTTCTGATTTGGTAATTACATCTTTTTCCGGGGTTGGTTCATGTTTGTTTCCGTCAAACTCGTAGAGTTTTTACGGCTAAATAGCCTCTATACATGATATATATATAATATATGTATACATATAATATATCTGTATACATGTATATATAAATATTTATGGGGGGGGTTCTTAGTATGGAGGCTCCCCAAAACCATGGTTGTTTCAATACGAAAATGGTCCAACTTTGGATGCTATGGGGTATCTCCTTGGGACACCTCTTGGCCAGCTCCGGGCGGCAGGACATTGAAGGCCTCGAGCCTGCGGTCCTGCGGTCTTTAGGGCAAGGTGCGGCGCAGAAGCCCAGAAGCCCAGGGTTGCCGTAGACGGCCTATATTCGGCCGACCCGGATCAGCCGTAGTAGGTCAGTTTGCCCAACTGCTTGAAAAGCCATCGGATAACCGACTTGGGGCTCACGATCACCACAGTTCAACTTGCGATTCGTGGGATGATCCGGTGGTCAACTTTGATTTTTGATCGTTTGGGAAATTCATTGGCCATGTTGATCGGGAAATCGGTGACCATTCAGTAAATCTGTATGGGGTTGTCCAAGATTGGAGGATCTTGGGCCAATTCCCATCTACCAAATGGATCCAACTGGCTGGTTGACTGCCATACCAAAAAAACTGCCAATGTTTGGAATCACAAAGTGACAAAAATAAGGCTACCCTTCAGTAAACTAACAGTTTTGTATGGAATTCCATCTACAAATTCTGGATTTTTCATATCAGATAGGGGTGTTAGTTTACTGGATGGCACAAAACGGCCGCATTCCACCAGGTTTTGCTAGAATCCACCGGGTGTCAGGTCCACCCGTGAAGTTTGTGAGCTTTGAGTATGCTGGAAACGTTTGGAAGGATCGACTGTCTCCTGTACTGCAGGACACGAGGAAAGGGACATCGTTTGCTTGAGGAGTGAGAATAGATAGACCGACAGATGAAGAGTTGGAGACACACTATTTTCATGGAGACATATGAGTTCTTCTACCTTAATAGTGAATCATAGTAACAATGGCGGGTGAATGGGTGAAATATTTTGGACACCACCAAGTTCATATTTTTTTGAACCCCACTGTAAATGGACTTTCAAAAGGATGTGGGCCATAAACAAAGAAGCAATACTTGGGCGGTGACAACCAACAATAAGTGCGATGTGAAAGGAATGAAAAACAACAACTGAGCAACTGGATTGGTGAACCTACAATCATGATATCATGGGCTGGGCAGCTGGCTCCATGGAGCACGGAGAATCCTTGAAGTTCTTTCACACGGGTCCAGGTCCAGGTATTGGGTGATACTTTTTAAGTCCTAGGATTCGTATATAGCAAATAGCAACTAACCCAATTCATCACTATTTCTACCCTTTCGGGGGTTGCTTTGACCAAGAAAGGAATGCCTATGAAAATCAACGCGTTTTTTTCATGGGAAAAACAGCGTGATCTCTTGCCACTTCTCTCTATCATATTCAATTAGACTATCCCAATTGGTGGCCATTTGATCCAACAAAACAATAGCTTGACTCTCAACACTTACGTGAGAGAGAGCTCAAAAAGATCCGGCCCTAGGTCACATATATATATATATATATAAGTAATATATATATATACACATCATTATATTGATCTTTCCAGATTGGATTCCGGGCCTTCAGAGCTTTGGTCCCACAAATCTGGCATGATGGCCGATGATGGCCGCAGATCCAAGAGAAGTGGCATGAACGATGGCGCTTTGTGCCGAGCTGAATCGATTGAAATTGCAGGGGCGTAGGGGTTGCTCACATACAACTGTCGCCTTTTATATATATATATATATGTATTTAATTTTGTTGCTAATCAATATATATATATAGAGTTATATATATATAAATGTAAATATCTATCCTACATATGTGTGTGTATACATATATATATATATATATGTAGACTCTATTGTAAATGAAGGCCACCTACATAGCTTCCCCTTTCGCCAGCAAAAAATCTCCGAACTCTTTTTTTTCGGATCCGCAGGACCTCTACGCTGCAGGATATTTCTGCTTCCTGATCACCTCGGAACAGCTCTTCCCGGTCTCGGGGCCCTTTTGGAGCAACATCTACGAGCTGCCCATGTGGAGCAACTTCTTCTGTGGCCAGGAAGGCTGGCAAATCACAGCAATTCACCATTGTAACAATGGTAAATCAACTATAAAATACGATGGGCCATGACTTCCATAGCTATGTTAGTTTGCATTACTTTACCAGAGAATTTGAGGATTATGTTGAACTCAGGGCTTTTTTTGTACTGGTCAAAAACCGAGAGTTGTTGCTTTCAATCCCATCTTCTATGGGTCAACCCTTGATGTTTGGTCAGTCCATTCTTTCCTGGGTCAACTCCCATTTTCAATGGGAATTTCAGGATCCTAAAATGGAGGTACGTTCGTACCATATTTTTGGCCATATTTTGTGGAGATATTCCCTGAAATTAGGCCTTATATGTGGTAGGTACCTCCAATTTATATAGGTACCTGAAATGGCCATTGACATTTTGTATGATTTCAAACCAAATCCACGTAGCTTGAGTTCGCCCCTGTATTTTTTTCAGTCACCAGCAGGATTTGGTGGTTTTCAATGGGGATATGACCAGGTTGCTTGATTGATTTGATTGACTCAAGCCTATCTAAACCCTATGTTTTTTATTGTTCGATAATAAACTTTTTTAACCATCCCCTTTTTTTTTAAGTAGCCATCAGGGGGTGTTTTTTTTCTGCAAATGGTCGTGGTTGGCTACGGCAGGTGACTCCGACTTGGAATCCCTGGTCCAGCTGCATGTGGGCGCCATCGGTCTGTGGCCGCGCATGGCCCACAGCTATCTGCCGGAGCTGGCAGAGGATGATACGCAGAGGACATAGCTTCGGTGAGTTTCAGTATATTTATTATGTGCTGTTAAAGAAGTGGACATTGATGTCAATCCAAAATTGCGCTCAAAAAAAGCTTTCACATCATGGCGTAGTGTTGTTTGATGCAATTTTTGCAAGTTTCCCCGTCATGTTTCAGTTGCAAATCCCCAACAATCCCAAAGAATTCCCCAGATTCGCCATTAATCAATGGAACATCCTTCATATTGGCTCGATATTTTTCCCAGTAAAACCATGTGACCATTTGCCAAAAATAGTTGACAGAAGTTTTGTACCAGTTGTTGATACCAATTAGTGTGGACATAGTGGTTTTCCTCTTCATTATGAGGCGGCACCCAACTAAATTCACCAATTCTGCATGGCAGCGCTAGCAAACCCGCTAGGTTTGCGCCTTTTTTTTTTCACACCCATGTTCAAGGTTTTTAGTGGTTCCTGACTGCTTCTTATTTCATCATGAAGAAAAGGCAAGATGTAACACTTAGCTCCTTAAACCTAAGGATGTCTTAGGGAATTTTTGTGCTACTGAACAATTTTCTTACATTTTTGAGGTTGCGACTCAATGTTGCGAATTTGTACGTAATTTTCCACGCTAGATCCCCGCTAGCAATGCGCTAGCAAAAGTTTCAAAAAGCGGCTTTGGCTGACCCGTGACCCAGTCGCCACCAGAGAACTTGTAGTTTATCCTGTCTGTTTGACAAAAAGGAACAGTGACAGAAAAGGCAACGACAAGCCCTGCAGTAGATGAAAAAATATTCCAGTTCTACCACTACTGTAATAACTTCATATAGACGTGCGTTAGCATCTACTACAGGTTTTGGCTACAGCTTCAAACATGAAAGATAAAATGCAGGGTTTCAGGCAACTCTGATAAGTCATGGTTTTAAAGATCAAACAAGAAGCGCCACACAAGGAATTGCGATGTATTCACCAAACCAGGGAAAGACATTTTGACAAACCGTCATGAACCTGTAAAATCTCCATTTATAGAGGAGTTTCCCCATGTTTTCCCCATGTTTTCCCCAATGTTTTGCCTCTTTTCCCAGGAGTTTCTTGGAGGCCCAGCACCGCTGCACCGACCTCGGCGCCGCCTGCGCCGGCATCACCTGCGAGGCGAGCGCGGCCTCGTCGAAGGTGGCGCCGACGAAGTGCACGGCGCGGCGTGGGGCGCGGGGCGGGGTGAGGAGATCGCCCAGGGAAGAGGTGAGTTACGTGAAGGAGGTGTCCTATAGCAACTTGGAGAAACTTGGAGAAAAAATCAACTTTTGGGCGAAAATCAAAGGAACTCAAAGGAACATCAAAGGTGAGTTGCATTAGGATCTATCTAATGGGATTTACATCCCAGGTAGGAAGTGGTCAGTAGCCACAAAATCCATTAAAATCCAACTAGACGTGAAATAACAGCATGAAATCACCCCAGTTTGTTGCCTCTCTACAGTGGCTTATTTGCACTGACGCTCAATTTTCTTGATGGTTTGATGGCGGCAACTAGGTGCGCACACAGCTGCACCAAGGCAACCTTTATCTCAGATATATGCGTGAAAAGGATCACCAAAGGACGTGATCACGTCATGGCGCTACGCGAAAACTGGGGTGAAGCAATGGCTGTGGGCTATGGTTCGAACTTAGCGGAGGGAAGTAGAGATGGAATCAATGTTGGTCATAGTCTTGGTAGTAAACACTCCCACTTTGGGGAGCAGCGCTGCCCTCATTTCTGATCATTTGTTGGGTGTTGATCAAATCCCACTTGTTGTCGATCTTGTGGCTTCAATCCCCAAGCTACTCCCTACCCACCTCCCCCCAAAAAAAACATAACAACCATGGTTTTCGGTGTTTTTCGGATAGTTTTTGGACCTTAGTCCCCACGCCCTCCACGTGAGAATGACATTTGACGTCTCGACCATTTTCAGATGAACCCATCTCATATGGTATTTAGATGTATTTTTGATCGTCATACATCCCGTGATAACTCACACTTACATCCCCAAGTGGTTGGTGGTTTGGAACAGTTTTTATTTTTCTATAATTTTGGGAATAATCATCCCAACTGACTCATATTTTTCAGAGGGGTAGGTATACCACCGACCAGCCAAAATATGGTTGATTTCACCGGTTTGTCCCTACATGTTCTGGTTGCTTTTTGGTGATTTTTTTCTAACTGTACCTAGTGATATCTTATATCCCTATTACAAATAAGGTAATACAGTATATCTCATGATTTCCCATGATATACCCACTCTGATATCCCCACAAGATAGTTGATTTTATACCAGACTATAATCCCTATTCATTAACCCTATTCATTAATTGTAATAATTGGAATTCACAGATATTTGTGTTGTGTTTTCTTTGTTTGTGTTACGAGGATTCAACTAGCCACCAAATTTGGTGACCCCATGTGACCAATGTCTGGGCTTATGGCAAATCTCAACCACCAACAAGCATGCTTACTGTGGGCGAGTCTTAAACATCAATTGTTGTCACCATCACCGAACTGTTCGGGGGGTTGGTTCAATCCCAATATGTATCTCAGTCTATCCCCATTGTTGCTGAACAATATCCCTTATGCTATCCCAATGATATCCCTTGGCCATCCTTTGCTCCTTAGCAGTTTTTTCAATACCCTGTTTGATTGGTTAATATAGGGACCTAATTTATATTAATTTATTGGGGACTGTGATAATCAATGATAGTCAGTAGGGAAAGCCGTTTCAACCCAATAGTATTTCATGAGATGGGATAGGAATAGGAACTATGTTTGATGACTCGTATAATAGTATAATTCAACCAGACAATATTAATGAACTATATGACTATATTATTATCCCTGTTCATTACCCCTTTTCATTTAACCCTTTTTTTGAATGGCTCACATGTATCCGTATACCATTATCCAGGTGGGGTGTGGAGGTGCTGCTGCACCGCTACTTCGCGAGTTCGGCCTGTCGGACGCTGAACCCCGAGGAGGCCGGTGGGACGGTGGGGCCCCCTGGTGATGTTTGTTAGCTAACAAAATGTTTTGAAACCGTCAAAAGTCCCATGAACTATAGATATATAAAATATTATAAAATCATATCTCTATACCATAATAAATATACCGTAAACGATAGTTTTTGTTACGTTCACCAACTTACTTATCGTTTGCAAAGCCCACCCTGCACTTCCATGTTCAATGGTGAAAGCCCGGGTTTCGGGTTTCAAGTTTTCCTGGAAACAAATTGAACGACAAGATATGTTGGTATAACCAGGAACATTCTCCCATGTGCCCATTTAATGGATGTTGACTTTTCTTCAATGAACATTCTTGATACAATTTATACATATTCATAAGACATATTCATTTATACATATGGGTGTGTCTGAAAATAGTGTACCCCTAAACCCAATGGTTAACGGATGTTAATGATCATTATCCCTATTAAATGGCTATAATTGGGAATATACCCTATTTTCAGACAAACCCATATGGACAATCTTCAATGGACAAATTCTCCATACGTCATTTCCTCCGTGATGTCATCTGATTTCCATGGCTGGCTCGGAGGCAGACCTTTTCCTGGTGCCGGACTATCGGGCCTGTCACCTGCATCTGGTTCGGGGCGCCCAGTCACTGCCAGTGACGCGGGGACACCCCGAGGGCGGATGTGACCAACGAGGTATCAGAGTTTGATGCTGGCAGAAGTTACCAATATTGAAGTTCTATGATTTCCTCAAGTATTCTGGAAATCAGTGGATGCATATGAAATATATGAATAAGGATTTTTCCTACCAACATCTATGACCAAAAATGAAGAGATGGGCATTTCTGATTAGCATAGAACTAGCAAAGATACTGGGACTATGCAGCTGAAGTTGGTGTTGATCGTCAAGAATTTGGTAAAGTAACAGCCCCACCAAATATTTCAGAGGAAGCCAAGAGGCGCCTTGGAAAATGAGGGATACCCCCAGTCATAGCCATGAAATCATAAGGAACATGATGATTGATTATAGTATATATATATACATATATATATATATATATATCATAGATTATTATAGTAATACCCAGAAAGATGAGAAGTATATCCAGGATGTTCCTTCAACGCGACAGTCATTTTCATAGATTTTCCACATCATCTCCAGGTGATGGAATGGGATCATCCCCTCGAGGGTGATGAAATGATGGAATGGCTGGAACTGGATTTTCCAGGAAGTTTCTAAATATCTATATATATATACATATATATATATATATCTCTATGTTGAAAAAAATCATTGCCTATCTTTCTCCCAATTCTCCAGAAGTTAAAAATCCTTCCGGATTTTTGTCGGCTTACTCTCCGAGGCTTATCCCCAAGACCTCTAGTTTTTTTTTTTGTGTGTGTGTATGCTTTTTTTTTTGATTTGCTCAAGGCTCAAAGTTTTTTGTTTTTTCGTTCTCCACCAAGACCTTTATAAAGCTTGAATGCTTCCTCGCACCCAAGACCATCATTCTGGAGCATGGACCCAACAATTGGCCGAACTGGGATCAAAATGAGTTTAGATTAGCAACACGCAGGAATTGAGGAAGGACTTGGCGCAGAGATGAAGGACTTGGCGCAGATGATAGCTTTGCGATGGCTTTGCTGAAATCTCATCATGTGCGGCATGAGAGGCGGTCAGAGCAAGACGGTCTTTAATCTGTCTGTCTGTCCGTCTGTCCGTCTGTCTGTCTGTCTATCTGTCTATCTATCTATCTGTCTGTCTGTCTTAATAACCACGCTGTAGTTTTGGATGATCCCCTTCAAAATAACGTGATAAAAAACAACTGGTCATTTTGCAGTCTTGGATTCCTGGATGCTTCCCCCTTCAAGTAGCCGGAACAAAAAGCCAATCATCATTTTGTAGTGGTAGCATAGGCCAATTTCTGATTGTCCTACACTTGAAAACCATCATTTTATAGATGCTGACATTGGGAACGAATCCTATGCCTACAGAATGGTGGGTCCCGACACCATAGGTGAAAATGTGTATAAATTTAAATCGGTATACACATACATATAGATGTCCTAATTCCCTTTCCTTGCCAAAAGACCGGATGCAACACACTGAAATGCTTTCACTTGATGATTTTGACCATTGGGTTCCAAAGTTTTGCATATTTGTTGTTTCGGAGAATCCACTTGCATATTCCTATTTTGGTATTTGTTGGTTCCTGAATTCCCTTCACTTTGTGAAATCCCCAAAGTTTGATCCCTGTGGGTCCTATCTTGTGAGGCCCCTACCTACATGCACAAGGGTTTGACCCGAATCGAAGGTGGGGATGGGGAGAGGTTGGGATTTAACCCTCTGTGGATCAACCATGCATGGGGAAAATCGGACAATCACGACCATGACTCTCAAAGTCAACATGTTGGGTTAACCTACAGCCTATATCTGATAGCACGAAAGTAGAGAAAAACCAGAAAAACACGGATCTCTTTAACCAGTGTTGGTTGATGATCCACTTGATTTCATGGTAAGTATTCCAAATACGGTGGGATGTCCCAGTGTGAACCTTGAAACTTGGTAGATCAATATATCCAAAGTGAACCCCATGCCTCTCTGGTCTGATTCCGGGTCACCCCCCGGGACAGCCATATTTTTTTGGGGGGGTTCAGTTGCGGTCCAAAAAAAACTTCAGGTGATGATTACCATTCCCAGATCATCCGCAACCACAAGGACAAGTGCCCCACAGGGGACGATCCCTCGGACCACGGGACCTTTGGGAGAATCTCCAGGAAGATCAGCAACAAGTGGAGGGTTTTTACCCCGAAACAGCCACTGGATTTCTTTGGGCAGCCCACCGAAAACTAAAATGGAGCTGACTTAAGTGGCAATGTCCAAGTCCAGAAACAACATTGGGGGGTTCTCCATCTTAATTCTCAGGACAGTAGCTTGATTTTCATAAATGTCCTACCAGCCTTATCGTTGGTTGATTTTTCTAACCAGGTGATAGTGGCCTCTGAAAAACAGCCAGGTCGGATCCCAAAAAGTTGACCCATTTTTGTGATGGTCCAACCTGTTTGGGATGAATCCCAACTGATGTTTGTTTTGATGTGGTAAAGCCAAATGGCAAAGGATACCAAATGGGTCCCCATATTTCTTTCAACATGCCATCACTTTCCAGGATGGGATCTTTTACAGTAGACGACCCATGGTTCCAAAAGGTTCCAAATGGGCTTGTCTAAAGATAGGGTACCCCTTAAATCGAGTGACTGATATTGACTGATCATCATATCCATTCTCAGACACATCCAAACTTCATTGTTGTTTAAAACATCATATGTTTGTATTTATATCCCACAACTCACAACATGTCCAATACATTCCAATACATTCCAATATATTCCAATATATTCCAATATATTCCAATATATTTCAATATTATAATCCCTATGTACATTTCATCCATTCTTCAACTCCCGCCCCGCCACGTCCTCGATCCATTCAGGTACCGCCGGCCCGATCAGGCGGAGAACAAGTTTCAGGAGATACAAAATCATCGCTGGTCTTTACAGGTGACATGTCATGAAATGTCTATGTTTAGCAGTTATTTAATATCAGTCAACAAATAGTCTATTGGAGTGGTTCAAGGATGTTGAAAGATTTTCTGTGTTA